GGAGGCCGCCCAGGGCCAGAGCCGGAGGCCCAGCAGGACGGAGGCCGCCCAGGGCCAGAGCCGGAGGCCCAGCAGGACGGAGGCCGCCCATGGCCAGAGCTGGAGGCCAAGCAAGATGGAGGCTGCCCAGGGCCAGAGCCAGAGTTCCAGCCAGACTGAGGCCACCCAGGGCCAGAGCTGGAGGCCCAGCCAGACTGAGGCTACCCAAGGCCCAAGACAAAAGCCTAACAAGACCAAGGCCACTCAGGGCCCAAGGAAGAGGCTTAGAAAGATCAAGGCTGCCCATTGCCAGAGTTGGGAACCCAGTAAGGCTGCCACCCATGGCCGGAGTGGGGGACTGATCCGAAGTTCTAGCAAGACCAAGGATTTCTATGATCCAAGTTGGAGCCCCAGCAACACTGAGGCCACTCAGGACCAATGCCAAAGGTCCAGCAAGACCACGGCTGCCCAGAGCTGGAGCCAGAACACAAGCCCAGGTTCCAGCAAGACTGAGGTCACCTAGGGACTGAGCCCAAATCTCAGAAAACCCCAGACCACCTAGGGCCTGACCAGAACCCCAGAAAAATCAAGGCTGGCCCAGCAGTTACACTGCTCCCTGAAGGGGGCCATTCAGCCCCCTCACTTCTTGCTGGGTATGGAAGAGATTCTAACCCACACACACACTCACTGGCACCCAGCAAAACAGCCTCCTTCCAGAGCAATTAGATACCTCAGCCAACATTCTTCTGGTCCCATGGCTAAGTTTATTGTATTTGTTCTCTTATAAAATTAAAAACTTTAAAAACCAGGCCCAAGTGGCAGCTTGAGTCCCTCTGTTCATGAAGACTGAAGTCTCAGCCCAGCTTTACAGTACGGGACATGGGGTGTGGGATGGAGGCTTCAGAGTACAGTGCCAGAGCAAGGGGCCAAGAGTAACCGACCGAAGAGGGAGAGAGCAGCCATGAGCCACAGTCCCTGAGTTACAATTCACATTTTAAGAAGGCTTAGGCTGGAGGGCAAGGGCAAGGCTCATTGAAGTTCTGGGGTCACCAGTGGTTTCTCCAGGGAAGGAAGCAAAGGTCAAGAGGCCCTCAGACCAGTTAAGAGGCCAGGGCCCTCTGTCCCATGCTCTAGCCAGCATGCCTCCTCATCTTCACTTTGGGCTCTGGGTCTCGCTCTCCAGGAGGCTCAGGAAAAGGGGTCCTACTGCAGGGGCCCCAGGGCTTTCCTGCACAGCCTGGTCAGGGAGAAGAGGGCAAGGACGCCATCTGGAGAGTCAGAGGACAAAAGCAATTCTGGAGGCCACAGTCTTGCATCCGTTGGAGGAAAAGAGCTGTTCTTCCTCAGGGAAGAAGGTGGTGCTATCCAGCACAGCCTGGAGGACCTCCTCCCTCGGCTCCAGGCCCAGCTGGGCCAGCTCGTTGAGCACGCAGTGCTGCACGTGGTGCCGCTGAAGTGGTAGAAAGGGCACCAGCACGTCTAGGAGATGCTCTTCCATGATGCCTGAGCGCCAGAAGCCATCTGCAGGAAGAGGCAAGATGGGAAGGGTCTGTGGTGGGCTCAGGGAGGTTGCATGACAGCCAGGAGCGCCAAAGCCTGGGCTGAGAAGTACCAGGTCAGTGGGCCGCGCATCAGACCCGGGGAGAACCTGGCCCAGCCCAGTGGTTGTGGGTGTGAAGCCTCGGCCTGCTGAAGTTACCCCGGGCGGGGAGGCCTCCCACACTGAACTCACGGTGCGGGTTGTCCAGCACAGCCTGGGAGATGACAGGCTCCAGCTCCTGCAGGCGGATCTCCTCCCGTTCCCGGCGGCCACGCCACGCCTCCAGGGCCACCTGGTTGATCTGCTCGCCGCCGGTGTTGCTGAAACCATGGGGAAAGCGGGCCACGGCTCAGACCGTGGGGGGCGGGATTTGGCCCTTGCTTCCCATGTGCCACCCAACACAACCTGAGCCTGGGCACCCTGCTCAGTAGCAGCAGGAGCCAAACCCACTGAAAATACACAATAGGAACTACTTCCCCTCTCCAGAGCCTGTGTCTCCAACCATGATGCCTGGAAATTCACTTATAGGTGCCGTGCACTTTAAAGTTTACAAAACACTTTTGGGTCCCTTAACTGACTTTCCCTCCCCGAGCCTCTAGGAGGACAGTGGGGCATTAATATTGGCCCTGCTGTGCAGAAGAGGGATGGGAGTTCAGAGAGGTGAAGTGATTTGCCCAAGGAAATACAGCTAGAACTCTTAGAGGTGCGACTAGAATTCTAGTCCTATTTTTCCCAGGTCTGTGTCCTCCTGGCCCCAAAAGAGGGAAAAATCGTTCCACAAAGAAACAGTGAGGATCCCAAAGACTGAGCCCAGAATGGGCTTTGAGAATGTCAAAATTTGAGTAACAGTGTCACAGCCAGTGTGAGGGGCTTTGGGAAAGCCCAACTGGGCCCCGGGGGGAAAGGTATTCTGGTGTGGGACCACAGGCCAAGACTGGATAGCTGAGACGTTGGACAAATGTCCCCGCACCATGCTGCTGCAAAGATGGGCCCACCTGATGAAGATGAAGATGGCTTTGCGATAGTTGGTCCCAAACACAACCCAGGAGGAGCCCAGGAAAGGTACCAGGACCTCCATCAGGCCTGGGGCCAGCTTGTCCATCTCGTCAAAGAGGAAGAGGGAGCGGCTGCAGGCTGTGAGGTTTCCCTGGACCCAGCTCTTAAGATCTTTCTGCGGGGAGAGGCAGGAGTTTGAAGGCACCTGGAGATACTCCTCTCACATCAGACTTCTTCTGAAGGCAAGAACTAATCCTTTCCTGGGGCTGGTGACAAAACTGTGGCCCCAAGGGGTCAGAGACTTGTTCAAGCTCATACACACAGCAAGTCAGCAAGCGCACAGAGACTCAAACCCAGGCCTCATATCTGCCTTGTTCAGGACTCCTTCTCTGATAGCCCCTACTTTCCATAAAAGAGGAAGGTTCCCTTCTGCTCCCTGAACCTTCTCAATAATGTTGACAGCTGAAACAGACCAGCCTAGAGAGGACCCTGCAATCGACAACAACGATAGTAGTAAGAGCTACTATTTACTAAATGCTTATTCCGAGCCTCAAATTGGGACCATGCTTTACAAAAAGAAGATAACGCAAGGCTGGCAAAGGTAAGTGCTCAATACATAATACCTGCAACTATACAATCCCACGTCCCTTGTCCATCTCAAGCTCTGTTCATGATGGGTCCTGAGGGCTGAGGCTCCAACTGGCTGTGCGGCCTGGAGCGAGTGACACCCCCCACCCCCGGACTCAGGACTCATTCATTCCCTAGGGTCTGGCACCCCAACATGCAGGTGAATGGTGGTCCAGGATGCCACCAGCCTACCTTGTAGCGCTCCATGTGGCTGGCGTGGGGGAAGTGGATGACGGGGGAAAAGTGGTGAACATGGGGGTTGCGGAGGCCACCCCGGAAGAGATAGTGCGCCAGAAGGGAGCTAACGTAGGACTTGCCAGTGCCTGTCCAGCCATGTAGGGAGAGGACCAGTGGCTTGGTGGGGGCTGGGTCCTGCACAAAGGCCTTCAGTGCCTTCACCACCAATGCCTTGGCCAAGTGCTGGCCGGCCAGGTGCTGGGCCAGGTCACACTCCAGACCTAGGGCCACAAGAAGGACAGTATCAGAGCTGAAGACACACGCTTGCCACAGAAGGGGGTGGGGAAGAGGCATGTCTGGAACCTGGTCTAGGGATCCCTGTGTCTTGGACAGTTTTACAAACTGTCTTTGGAAAGGGAGTGGGGCCCTTGGGGACTCCGGCAGCAGCAGCAGCAGCCACCCTCACACCTGACTTGGCTCGGCAGCGCCCCCACCAGCTGGCCCTCTGCATTGCACTCAGCTCTAAGTGGCTGTGAGCTGTCAACAGGTTTGGCCCAAGATTTCCTGCCCATTCCCAAGGCAGGCTTCTCCCCTGATGGCCAGTCCACTGTGGAGGCCCAATCCTACCCCCAAGGCCCTGCTGTCAAATGCCTCTCTCCATCCTGGCAGGGCTCTGCCTGGACTCCCAAACATGCTTCCCCAAACCCTTGCCCCAAGTCCAGTACTCGGGACTCTCAGTCCCTCAACACCGGGCCCACTTGCGGCCTGGGCCACCCGGAAGTCTGCGGGTCCCGCCCCTCGGTTCTACCCTTCAGGTGTGGCCCGGGGGCAACCCCAGAGTCCGAGAGCTCCCCGGTCCGCGGGCCCTTGCACTCCGGGCTCCTGCGGCTCCTCACCCTGAAAGTCGGGCTGGAAGTCACATTCGCAGAAGGTGCCGAGGTGGCAACGCAGCGAAGTCAGGTCCCAGGCGGCGGCCGCGGCCGAGACCAGCCCCAGCAACCCGAGGAGCGAGCCCCAGGGCCGGCAGCCGCGAGTCGCAGCCGCCATGCGGGTGAGACGGGAGCCGGGTCTGGGCCAACCGCCCCTCCCTGGGACCACAATTCCCGGCGTGCCTCTCTGGGCGGCAGCCACCTTCCGTAGCCTACAACTCCCGGCTCCCCCCGGAAAGGCTCGAGCCGTCGTCCCGCAGCAGGACCGGAAGGTAGCCTCTAGGGGGAGCCCGCGAACCGTCCCAATCCAGGACGGCGGGCCGCGTTTCCGTGGCCACGGTAACTAGGAGACCATAATAGCGCCGAAAGAATAATAAGGGATTATGACCACAAAGGGTGACGTAACAATTGTAGCAAAAACTTGTGCGGCACCTTAAGCCTTGCAAAGCTCCTTTTCCATGCTCTTTTTTTATATGACAAAAGAGCGCTCAGTAATAGAGCTTTTGGTAAGCACTTACTGGGTGCCATTAGGGTTAGGTGCCTTATATGTCTTACGATAACAGTACCTGCCATACAGAGAAACAGTGATATTTCAATGAGGTACAGGAACATAAAGTGTTTTGACTCGGAAAGTAATCAATAAATGATTATTGGCAATCCATTATGTATGAAACATGGCAGTCCCCTACCTAGCAGCTACTCTGCCCTAAGTGCTTTAACATCAATCCTAAGGAATCGATTTTGTTATTGTCCTTATTTTGTTGAGGACGAAATTGGGACCCAAGGAGTTAAGCCTCTGTCCAAGGCTCATAAATAATAGAACTGAACCCAAGTCAAGCTGCTGCCAAAGATCTAATGCACTGTTATCCAGCCTCTCTTGGTCAAAGGATTCAGAAGGCAAAGGACCCAAGACGTTTCATATTCAGTGAACAGGCTCCCCAGGCCTCCAGCCTGGATAGGAATCGTGTTTATCCACATTGCCTACCTCCCCTACCCATGGAATCAAGACAACTGCATTCGTGGCCCTTCTTAGAGATTCCCTGACCCACCCACCCTGCGCATGCACGCGCACACACACACACACACACGCTCACACGAAGCTTTCTGGGACCCTGAAAAGAAATAAGTAGTTCCCTCTGTTGAGAAAAGGAAAGAACTCCATGTCAGGACACCCAGGTTCCAGCCTCCCTCATTCTGCTGCTGTGACCCCAGGAGAGTCCCTTCTCCCTCCAGTTCCGTTTTCCAGGGGAGAGTAGGAATCCTAAATTTCAACAAGCCCTTCCACTCCAAACATCTGGAATGCTTGGTTGTGCATTTGTGGGAATCTTTGCTGGGCTTCCCCAAGCAGGAAACGGGGTGGGAGTAGGGGCTGGCCAGGATTTCTCCCCCTGGTTGGAATTAGCTGTTTCTTTCCCCCACTGGTCTGTGAGCTCCTCCAGGACTGGTACTGGGTTTTAGTATTGGCTCTAACAGTGGCTCCTGGTAGAATCTGGAATGTCCCAGGAGCTAAATAAGTATTTGCCGTTGAATTTTTCCACCTTTCACCTGAGAGAAAAGACTTCCTTCCACCAGGGCCCCGTGAGAGACAGAAGAAAGAGTCATAAAAGTTTATTATATGAAAGAAAGAACATGGCTTCTATACATCTATTTACAGAACAGACACACATATTTACAACCGGGTGGAGGCCTTGGTGTCCATTGTGGGCAGATGCCTGAAGAAGAGTGAGGAGGCGTGAGGACCCTCCCATGGCTCAAACACAGGGCACCTCAGCAGGAAGGGGAGAAGCAGAAGCTGGAGGAGGAACAGGATTCCGGTTCTTCCTGAAGGGAGACTTGGTGGGCACGTAACAGGTGGGATAGAGCCCAGGGTCCATGCAGGACCTGGAGGTGCAAGGGAGATCCTGGTTTGGGCCCAGAACATTCTCGGGCTGATCACAGTGTCTCTGGGGTGCTCTGGGGAGAGGTCTGTGCCCCTCTGTCCCTGTTGCTGCCCGCAGCTGCAGAGGGGAGGGGTCCGCGGGGGTCACAGTTCGCTGGAGCGGACAGCAGGTTCCAGTTTGTGGGACAGGGCAGTGAGGACCTTGTCAAACTTCTCATAGCGCCGGGCCTGGTTGCTGCTGGCGCCCTGGCTGCCCCAGAGAAGGCGCATCTGGAACTCGGTGCTGAACACCTCCAGGAGCTCTGGCCGGGCCTGGAACCCTGCAAGGCAGGGCACAGGGGTCAGGGGATGACCATCCAGCTAGGAAGGCTGGGGGTCCTGCCTAAAGTCAATACCTCCCTCAGGGCCCTGTTCCTAAGGGCCTGCCCCCCACCAGCTCCACCAGGATTCCAACAAGGTTTGTCAATGAACCATGTTTGCAACATATAATATTTAAATTACTGAAGATAAAATATGAATATCAATTGGAGGGATTTTTCTTTTCTTTTTTGTATTTTTCTGTAAGTTCTAAACTTCTTCCTAAGAAACATATACATTTTGCAAGTAAGTGTTTTAAGTAAAATTTTGTTGTTCTCTCTGGAAAAGAAAAAGGAGGAAAGACAAACACCAGGATGTTCTCCTCATGTGCCTCTGGGTGGTTGTGGGTGATTTTGTTTTTTCTTTTTGCTCAGCTGTAATTTCCAATTTGCCTACAGTGAACTTTCATGACTTAAATAATGCCTAAAGCAGTAAAAGCTGGATAGTTTGAAGCTACTTCCTCTCTGCCCTTTTCACGAGGGAGATCTCTGTTTCCCCTAGACTGGGAGCTCCTTGAAGGCAGGACAGGTGTGTCTCAGCCCCAGGCCAAGTGCTTTGCAAACAACATTGTAAAGTAATCCCGTTAAGACGTCAACTTCACAGATGAGAAAACACAGGCTCAAAGAAAGCCTAGGGTACTCTTTGTATCACCTCTGTGTCCCTCCACCCCTACCCAGCGCCTTCCACTCACAGTTGAACTGATAAGTGAGTGAAAAACAGGGATAAGGAAAGGGAGTCAGGGTGCGGTGCCGGACAGAGGAACGGAGAAACGCGACTGGAGGTTTGGAGGAAAGGGGAGAGCAAGGCCGGTGGAGGGAGGGCCGGCCAGCGTGACCAGTGACCATCTCGCCCCCCAGATGAGACCCGTGACTCACCCTGCAGCTTGACCTCTGCGTTGGTGTGATACAGGCCTCCGTGGTGGGCCACCGTGCGGGCAGCCTCCAGGTGGGCCAGCACCACCTCCACACCATGCTCGGTGCTGCCCCAGGGCTCAGGGCCCTCTGCCGGGGCCGAGTCACACTCCAGCAGAGTGATGAGCGGCAGCACATGCGGAAATGTAGTGTTGCTCAGCGGCGGGCCTTCTGCAGGGAGAGAGGCAGGCGCTTAGAGACCTTGGAGGCCCTACCATCCACGGCGCTCCCAGCAGACAGGTGAGGCGCTCCCGGCAGACAGGTGGGGCGGGGGTGGGTCTGCCTGAGGTCCCTGACTGAGCCCCCAGGGCTCCCGACTCCCAAGACTAGCCTCCCTCCTTTTGGAATCCTCCAGCTGAACCCAATGCTGCCTTGGCGCAGCCCCAAGGGCTGAGCCTGGTCCTGGCCGAGGCTCACACGGTTGCCAGGTGCAGAAAGTGAGCACAAGATTAGCCTGTGCAGACCTCAGTCAAGCTCTGGTCATTGTCCACACTGGGAGAGTCTTTGCCGGCCCAGAGCGGGGCTGGAGCCTGTCCAAGGTGACACAGCAAGGTGTGGGGGGGTACCTTTGCCCTCGTTGAGGCTCTTGAGAAATGGCTTGAGCTTCTTCTCGTAGAGGATGGCACCCTCCGTGTGTCGCTGCCGAAGGGTCACCCATGTCTGCTCCAGCCGGGCAATCTGGGGAGAGCAGACTGTGAGCGCTCAGCCAGGGAAGGGGCCTGCACAGGCCACAAGCCACCCTGCTGAGTGGACAACCAGATGTTATCCCTGGACAACCAGGGATAATAATTATTATATCATGGTCACCTTTCATGTACCAGGGACAGTGCTGGCTGCTCTTCGCATTCTCCTGGGAGGCCTTGCAACAGCTCATTTTACAGATGAGGGAACTAAGGCTCAGCTAGGGCAATGACTTGCCCAAGGTCATTCCAAAATTAGGTAGCAGAGCTGGGAGTTGAGCCACGTCCTCTGGGACCCTGTTGTTACTATTGACTAGGCATAGGAGAGCAAGTGTAGAGTCCGGAGGAAGTTCAGGCTTGGCAACAGACTTTTTCAGTCTCTGACTGTGTGACCTTAGGCAAGTACTGCTGTGCCTCAATTTTTCATAAGTAAAATGGGACAATAAAGGCACTTCACAAGATTGTTCTGAGGAATCAATGCTTATAAAGTACTTAGTGTACCACCTAGCATGTATTAAGTGCTCGCTAAATTATAGCCATTTTATATTTATTCTTGAAACTCATATAATGCTCCTCACTCATTTTGCAGGTGGGTAAACTGAGTCCCAAAGAAGGGGCAAGCCTTGGTCTTGGAGCAGGTCACCACTTAGAGACCTCAGTTCTCAACAGTTACCCTTTCACCAATGCTGCCTAAAAGTCACCACGTTCTTCCCTATTCGAACGTATCCCAGGGCTCCCTCCAGACGGCGACTTCCTGAAGCCCAGCTCGAGACGCGCCCCTCCGTACCTGAGCCATATCCAGGGCGCCCATGACCGCCGCGAAGCTGAACATGTTGCCCATCGTCCCCCGAAGTTCAGCCGCCAGCTGGATGGTCTTGTGCAGAAGCGCTGCCCGCTCCTCCGCGGAGCCCGTGCAGCCCAGGATGTCCACGGCCAGCATGATGGACATGGTGTGGAACCTGTCACAGCGGCCAGGTCAGAGGGGAGGGGTCCTGCCACCGCTTGTGGTTGGGCGCCGAGGGGCGGAGGGCCGAGCCCAAAGCGACAGGTTGGAAAGGGTCAATGAAATTAGGGGGCGCGGCCAGAGTGAGGGGAAAAAGCAAGGCTAAGGGCTTCTGATTGGTCAGTGTAAATCAGGGGAGGGGCCAGAGGCTTCTGAGCGCCGGGCTGAGGGAGGGGCTTGTGATCGATCAGTGGAATTCACGCGGCGGAACAGTTTTAAGAAAGAAGAGTAGCCAGAGCTGATGGGCAGGGCTAAGCCTCGCGGAGTGTGATTGGTCAAGAGGGTGCAAAAGATGAATCCGGGGATAGACTCAGGCTTTGGGGAAACTAGGATTGCTTGGAGCTTGATACGGAGCAGTTGCGATTCGTCAATGGATAGAGGGCGTAGCCAGAACCCATGGGAGCCGGGCTGAGAGACTCTGATTGGCCAACCGGCCACAGCAAAAGGGCTGCGAGGTAGCCCGGGGGATTCCCCCGCGAGGCCCCGGGTGCAGGTGCTTGCCTTACCTTTCCAGAAGGTCTAGTCGTAGCTGCCGGCCATGGGGGAGGGTGAGCAGCTCCATGCCCCAGCGGACTCCCATTAGGGTCTGCATCTCCTTGGTAACGCCCAGTATCCTAGCAACCTGCAAGGACGCCCAGAGGGCTGATTAATTTCCTGTCGCGGTTGGCCCAAGCCATCTGGGAGTCAGAGAGCTTTATCTAGGAGGGCAGCCTGGCTGGGATGACGAGTTTGAATTTCAGCTCTCACCCTCTGCCATGGAGCAAATGAACCTCATTTCCTCCTCAGTTCCGTGAAATGAGGGATAAATGGGAAAATGCCCAGTGGTGTTTGATATGTGCCAAAGGTGACCAGGACACCTTTATTCCAGAAGGCAAACCTGAGTTCCAGGGAGGGAAAGGACTTGTCCAAAATCACACACTGGGCCTAGAACCCAGAACTGCTCCCTTCATGCCTAGCACTCTCCACAGGGCAGTATCTTTGCACTCTTTTCTTGCTTCCTGAGCTGAGAGGCCAGTGTGGCCCCCACATAAAGTAATCAGTGCCCCCCAAGCTTCAGAGGGAGAAACTGAGGGGCAGAGAGAGTCTGGGTCCTTAGATAGTCAAGATTCATTCAAAGGCCCAGGCATTGACAATTTAGGAGTCTAGGTTATGAGTTTTGTTCATTTTGTCCACTAGGGGGGGATGGGGGCAGGTAGTCTCGGTTTTAACATTCCCTGAACCAGCCAGGCAGACTCTCATCAGGCTCAAAAAGTGCCCCAGGGAGCTCTGGCTTTCAGCACCGCCCAGTTCCAATGCCAAAGTGGAGGAAGCAAGGATATCTTGTGTTGTTGTTGTTGCCATTTTTAGGAGAAAATGGAGGCCCGGAGAGGTAAAGTGATCAGCCCAGAGTCACACAGCAAGTGAGGGACAGCTATGAAGCCAGAATCCAGGCCCACTCACTATACTTGGGGAATTTAGAGGCCAACTTCTCACCCCCCAGACCCCTGTCCCAAAGCCACAGGACAGAGGTGCTCTCCCTGGCCCAGTGCTCACCCAGCACCTACCAGGCAGTCAACCTTGGTGACGTGCCAAGCCAGCGTCCGGGCATCCACCTCTGCTAGCAGCTCCTTGACCTTGCGCAGGAGGCCCACCTCCAGCGGCCGGTTATCCTTGGGGATCAGTAGTGACTGGAAGGTGGCTGGGTTGAAGGAAGAGGTGGCTTCCACAATGGGGGCTATGAAGGCCCTGCCCCGGTCCCCCTCAGGTGTCCCATTCTCTGACAGTTCCTTTAGCCTCTCCCCATAGCTCCTGGCCTGCCGGCTGGAGGCCTCACCGGCTGCCCACTCTCGGCTGCCCCGGACAGGAGGCTGGAGCTGGCAGTAATGGCCAGAGTCCGGGTCACTGTAGCTGCTGAGCGATGGTGATGGGGAGGCCTTGCAGAGCGTGTGGGAGGGGCTGGCATAAGGGCCCTTGTCCGACTCCCCAGGGGGCTTTGGGGCACTTCCGGGACACAGCTGGGGTTCACTGGAGCGGCGGGTGACAGGGGAGGCAGGCAGCGCTGTGGCTGAGGGAGCTGCAGGGGTGGCGTGGACACGGGTCACTGCAGGGAGAGAAAGGGAGAGGACTAGTTACCAGAGCTCCCCACCCAGTGAAGTTCTCCCACCCTCTTCCCAAAGGAGTGATGTCCCCACCTCCCTGCACACAGGCCAGGCCCAGCAGCCTCGGGTAAACTGACCAGGCCTCAAGGTTACTCTCAAATTGCCTGGACCCCAGGAGTTTGCTCTCTCCTACCCTCAGGCTGCTGCAGCCTTGGGGAACCACTGAACTACATAGAGGAGCTTGCCGTGATTCAGGGATGCTAATAAGCACTTGCTGGAGTTCATTGTGTGGAATTATTTCTCAGTGAGTTAGCAATGATTTATTGAGTACTCATGTGCTAGGAGCTGGCGACTTGCTGGCCATACACTGGTCAACAGCAGTGAAACCATCATCCAAAATGAGAGCTGATGTATATTGAGCTCTTCCTGCCTGCGAGACCCTTCTTTGTACCTTAGCCCACTTAACCCTAACATCCTGGGAAGTAAGTACTTCCACGATCCTCATTCTACCAGGAGAAAACTGAGGGTCAGAGGGGTCAACTGCCCCACGTGGGAGAGCTGGGCTTGAAATCCTCAGTCCTGGATACTTCACTCTGCCATGTTGTTCAGAGACTGCCCGATAAATCATTTGGGGCAAGGAATTTTGACTGACACTCAGGGGAGTTGGTTCGAAGGCAAGTTTGTAGTTAGGACAAGTTGGTGGGCCTGTGTTTAGGGAAGAATGTGTGACAACCTGTGGGGACAGTATCAGTGGTGCCACTGGCTGGTTTTTAGTGTAAATTCTTGCAGGGCATCACTCTCAGTAAAGAGGTAGAAACACATACAATCACACACTGTAACAGAAGTCATTAAAGACAGAGCGTGTGTGCACACACAAGGTCACTCCCACCAGATTCCCCACCCCACCCCGCCCCCTCTGCTGGCCATACCAGTACCGTAGGCAGGGGAGCTGGGACTCTCAGAGATGGGTGTCATGGGCGAGTGCAGGTCTGGGATCTGGTCCATGCTGAGGGCACAGTTGCGGATAGATTCCCGGGGGTGGGGCAGTGAGGTGCTGTGGAGCAGATACCTTCATGAGCAGAGAGCCCAGAGGGCAGGGTCCTCAGCTGGCCTTAGGACCCCCACCTCTGCCTCCATCCTAGGTTGACTGAACTTCAGAGGCAGAAAAGGCTTGGAGAGCGTAGTACTAATTGGCAAGTGTAAGACTGAAGCCCAGAGAGGGGAGTGTTCGTACAGTCCACCACCTGCACAACTGCTCTCTTCCCTGAGAACCCTGCCTCCAACTTAGAGAACTGCCTGGGAAGCAGGCCTAGCAGAAAGGATGGGGAGCCTGTGGGAACCAGGCCCACCAGACTGGCACCTCCTCACTGCTCCTACGCTATGCTCAGAATGCCAGATCCTGGCACCATTATGGACACTGGTTCTAAGCCTCAGGCAAAGTGGCCACTGCCCACAGAGAATCCAACCAGCAGTTCCTTGGCTGACAGCACCCAGCCCAGGCCTAGGGAGATGGGACCTACCCAAGTGCTGGTGGCACAGGATGGCGGGTCTCTGCAAACAACCAGGGAGGCCACAGAAATGAGGGGTACAGACTTTGGAATTGCAGACCTGGGTTTGAATCTCAGTCCTCCCACTCTCCAGCAAGCGGCTTCCCCTCTCTCAACCTATTCGCTCATCTATAAAGTGGGGGTGTGCCCAGGAGTCACCTCCCAGGAGGACATGGGAGTTGATGAGCTTGGGCGCAGACAGCCCTCTGCACAGGGCCGGGTGCACACTAGGGCCTCAGAAATGAGTCCCTTCTGCGGCTTGTCCTGGTCTTGTCCCACCCAGGGCCAGAGGCAACTGGGGGTCATTAAAGTGTGGCTGGAACATCCCATCCCCTATGCAGTGGTTTGCATATTGCAAAGCCCTCTGTTCTGATGCCCGCCTCGGACTCGCTAGGTGGGTGGGGAGGGGGAGCAGCGGCCACAGGGACAGGGCAGCACCCACGGATCCTGTAGGCTGGGGGCGGCTATCTGAGGGAGGGCGCTTTATGGGTAGGAACATGGTCATGAGAGGAGAGCGGCAGGGCCCAGGGAGCTCAGCTAGTCGTAGCTGACCTAAGGCTATCACCTGCCTGCAAACCCTGCACTCAGCCCCGCGTCCTCCTCTTCCTCGCTGCACACTGAGGCTCCAGGACAGTTATTCCACCCAGTTCAGAATGCCTGGGCCTCCCGCTCCTCACCAGCACTCTGATGACGGATACCCCCACTTGCCAAACGAGGAGACCGAGGCCTAGCGTGGGGTCCTTCCTTACCTGGTGGGGCAGCCATCGCTGCGGGTGACCTTGTCGGCGGTGAGCCCGTCGGTCATGGTGACGCTGCGCCGCTTCATGTGGCTGCCCTTGGGGCCCGAGGGGCTGGCAGGGCCAGCAGCCTTGCCGCTGCTCTGGCCCAGGCCATAGCAAGCCTCCAGGTAGCGCAGCGGGAAGGTGCGGTTGACAGGGCAGTAGATGATGGCCCCGCTCTGCTCCGACACTGCCTTGCGGCTGCCCACATGGTACCGCACAAGGGCGGGCACGTGGTCGAAGCTCTCCTGCTCGAATAGGTACTGGATGTGTGTGTAGCTCTCCCCGGCCTTCACCACCACCTTGTTGATTTTGAAGTGCAAGGCCTGGTTGTGCCAGCGGCAGGTGAGCACATAGTCACCCAGGCTGGTGAGAGAGTCCCGGATGAGGAAGTCGCCGTTGCGCTGCACCAGGGTCTCTGATACCTGCAGGAGGCAGTGATCAGGCTGGAGCAGGGCCAGGGCAGGGTCAGACCCAGGATCTGGGGGACATGGGGAACAGAGATATCTACAGCTTAGGAAGGGTGATGCAGTGACCCAGATTCAGAGTGGGCAACTCAGCCACGGACCCTGGGTCTGGTGCACAGAGGCTCAGGAATGGGAAGACATGACACCCTGGAACGTAAGTCACAGGGACACAGAGCCTGGGGGAGCTGGGGGTTGCTGTGACCTAAAACTCAGGTCTCAGACCTGCTCCTTCTCAGGGTGCATTCCCAATCCTCATTCCTCCAAGCACCCAGTGCTCTCCCAGATCTCTGGGCCTTTGTACCCTCAGGCTGCTCTCTCTTCCTGGACATCCTTCCCATGCTGCCCACTTAGTGAACTCCTGTCCATCTCTCACTGGCCTCTGTCTTCAGTTCCCCCTCCTCAGGGCCAGCCCGCATTCCCTGCTGGATGCTCCATTCCTGCACTTCTTCCAGTGGGCTCTGACTGGACTACCAGCCCTCAGGGGAAGCCACCACCCACTTTCTCTCTGCATTCATGGTGCTTGACAAAGATCCACAGAATGAATGAAAGAGGGAACAGAAAGAGGGAACAGGTGACTATCAGCCCATCTGGGCCTCAGCACAGAAACTCAGCTTTGCCAAAACTGAGAATCCTAGGCCCTGACACTTACCAAACACACAAGAGGCTAATGTATAGACCCATGGAAAAAAAAAAAAAGTTAAAAGTAATAGTAATAATAATAGCAATAACAACACTAATAATAACATTGAGCCCACTGTCAGACGTCAAGTTAAGCACTTTATGTGCATTGTTTCATTTATTCTCACAATAACCCTTGAAGGCAGGTACTATCATTACCATCCATCTCATAGAAGAAGAAACCAGGGCTCAGAGAGGTGAAGTGACTTGTGCAAGGTCACACAGTCAGTAAATGACAGAGTTAGACCTCACTGCAGTCCTCTCGGACTGAATCCACCAAGCAGCAGGTCACAGCCTCTCTGGGCGTCTAGGGCTGAGGTCCCGCCTAGGGCCTACTCACCTCACGGGGGATGCGGCCGTGGTACCAGGCATGGCTGCGGAGATCTGTGCTGCTGAGTTTGAGTTCCTCCTCCAACTCCTTGTGCAGTTTCTCAGGGGAAGAGTCCAGGATGTACTTCTCCTTGGAGAACTGGGCAGGAGACAGCAAAGAGTTGGCATCTGGTCTGAAGCCCTCCTTCTTCTTCTCCTCCAACCCCTCCCTACTCCAGGTGAGCTGCTTCCATCCCGGGACCCTGGGAAAACTTAGGCACAGGTGCCAGAGAAGTCCTCACCCTTGAGGCCCCATCCTAGCAGCAGCAAGGAAATCTCAGTCCTACTGTGTTCCAGGCCCTGTGCTATGCGCCAGGAGTAAATGAGACAATAAACAAACCAGGCCCTGTCCTCAAGGAAGCTTGTAGTCCAGGCAGGGGAAGGAAAAGCAACAGGAACATTTGAGCAGAATAAGGTCAGCACCACAGTACTGGACAGCGGCAAGGAGCCGGGTGGCTTTTGTAAGAGAGAAGATAAAGTATAGGCGAAGTGGAGAGTGGTCCAGGAAGCCTTCCTGGAGGAAATGGTAACAACAAAACACTCCCTCTGCACCAGAAACATCAAACTGATCTTGCACTGGGGAGAGGCAGGATTTCTATAGGTGGATCTGGGAGGTAAGGCAGCAGGTACCCAGGTAAAGGCAGAGGACAAAAACATAAGGCTGGATGCACGATGATACATTCTGGGATGCTGAATTATACAGTGGAAGGGTGGAGGAGGCAGCTATAAACAGGGAAGCAGAGGCCCCCACACAGACATTTCTGCTGTCCTTTACAATTCCCAAGGCCCTTTCCTCCTCGCCTTCTCAAGCAATCCTGGCCAGATGGCAAAACTGTGGCCAAGCAGGGAAGCCAAAGGTCACTCGATGAAGATAATGCCCAGGACTCCCCCCCTTCCACCTGGCCAAGGAGGAGATTCCTGGTTTCCTGGTTACCATGGCCCAGGGTTAGATACCTAAGAGCAGAGGGAGGAGAGTTCCTATTGCCAGGTGCAGCCCCACCACAAAGCACAGTCCAATCCTGGCGGTGTCCTGTGAGTTCTCTGGGCCTCAGTTTCCTCCTCAAAAAATGCGTATATTTACAGAACCTGCCTCATTGGGTTGCAAGGATAAAAGGAGACAATACTCCAGAGTACTGTGACTAGCCCATAGATGTCCTCGTCACTGTGAGGACATGCAACACTGTTTCCTCTCCCACTCCCCAATTCTGGGCCCAGAGATGGCTGTTCTAGGACAGATAGATCTGGCTCCGAACTGGCCAGACAGCAAGACAGATGAAAGGGGCACGGGAGGGCCTGGCTTCAGTCCAGGTGACAGTCTCTCTCCAGGACCCCCTACTCACCAAGGTCCAAGGGTCCTCTAATCCACTCCCTGCCTTTTCAGGCCTTCCAAAGATCTCAGAGCCTAACTCTGCAGTTCCATTCCCCACCCCTCTGCTCCCACACTGCCTCAGTTTACCCCAATCCACACTGCTCCCAAGACAGCCTAATTCCCAGCTTCAGTGATATCTAGAGCCTCTGACTTCATTATTTCAACAATGATTAAGCCTCCTGTGCCAGGGGCTGAGGCCCCAAGGTCATCAGGACAGGTGACCTCTGAGAGAGCTACACAGACACTGACAAGCAATTCCAGTTTTCTGAGTGTTCAGAGATGCACAGATAGCTCTGGGAGCAGCTAAGAGGGTACCTCCTCATCTAGTCAGGGAGTCGAGTCCCTGAAGAGGTGATGTTTCCATGGAGGCCTGCAGAAGGACTGGATGAGCCCAGCAAAAGCATCAGGGCAGGGACAGACAGGCAAACAGGTGGGCCAGGAAGAGTTTCTGGGCAGAGAGTGGCAGAGTCAGGGCCCTGCAGGCAGAGCCAAGGTCCTGGGGTGAGGGGAAGCTTCAGAGGGGCAGAGATGATGGGGGCAGGTGGAGCAGGGCTGTCAGGCTGCTGTGGGGAGCTGGGGTTTACCCAGAGGCCACAGCAGAGCCACAGAGGGTTTTTCATGTATGGAGAGTGGCTTAGTGCTTTCCGGGCACTGGCAGGGAAGGGCGGGGCATGGGGGTGAGGACTAGGAAAAGGGTGTTTAAGTAGCCATTGATCAGGACTGGGAAGAGGGGTGGAGGGGTCAGAGAGGATTTCAGATGGAGATCCTGGGAGGACAATGAGACACTCGCAGAGGTGAGCAAAGCTGAGCAGGAGCAGCTTGGTGATGGGCCCATGAAAATTGGGGTTTTGAGGAGCCTGTAGGACTTTGGGGACAGATGGTGGAGGTCAGTGATGGTACAGGTACTTAGGAAAAGATAGGTCCTGGGGATGGGGATTCTGTATGCCCTCTACCCAGGGTAGAAACTGATACCCCCGAGGGTGGGAAAGCTGAGGGCTGAACTGAAATTGGGGTGTCCTCATATACCTACACTTCTGTATGGAGTTCCTTATTCTTCGGGGTCCTTGGCCTCCCTCCCTATACCACACCACACCCTGGGGAGGGAAGACTAGGAGTCACAGGGGAGAGAACACCAGTACCCCAGCCTTCTGGGGTTCTTCTCCTTGACAAAAAGCATGTAACTGAGAACTCACCCCGGTTCCACAGCTGGAGCAAGATAGACATGGGGCAAAGAAGGGGAGTGGGCTGTGAGGTGAAGAACCTGGCCACAAGACTCTGCCTACCACTGTGTGACACTGAGCTAGTCATTTGCCCTCTCCGAGCCTGGGTAGCCTCCTCTGTAAACGGGGCAGGGGGTGGGGAGACTGGGCTCCACTTTTCCAGCGTAATCAATGGTCACAGGGAGAATCTGGGGGAACCAACTTGGTCCTCCCACACACCCGGGGGTGGGGAACCCTAGGGTCCTGTGCCCTCCTCCTCACTCTCGACCAGGGGGTCCCCAGCTCCCAAGACTGGGGTGGGTGGGTGGGAGTTGCGGGCTGGGGCGCGAATGCAGCATCCTTGCGCTTAGCGCACCGCTATTGGCCAGAGATGATCTCACCGCCTCCCTGCCTGCGCGCGCCTGATTGGCCGGTGCGGGGATGCTGCGCTCCGCTGCCGGCGGGGCCGTCATTCAGGCGGGATCCGAGCGTGTGTGTGAGCCCGGGGGAGCGCAGAGGTGACGCGTCCGGCGTCCCCCAGGGGGCTCCGGAGGCAAAAGCGCAGAGACCCCCGGTCCGGGTCTTAAGCCCTAACCCCCAGCTCGCGCCCAGCAAGCCCCGTCCAGCTTCCTACGGTCTGGCAACCCCTAGCAAGGCCATCCCAGATGATGCTCCGCAGAGGCGGGGTCCGGGTCCTCCCCTCCACCCCCTTCCGTTTAACCCCTTCACCGCCGCGGCGCCGTCCCGCACTGCCCGGCTGGCTGGGCTGGGAGCCCCGCGCCCCGAGCTTGCCCCAGCCCACCTAGAGGGCGGGAGAGTAGCGGAAGCTCTGGCCCTAGCCTCGGCACCCGCAGCACCCCTTCAGTTTCCCGCCCCTCACTCAGCCTTCGGACCCCAGCCCTGCGCTCCCGGTACAATGGGGAGCCAGACTGCCCGGGTCAGCCGCAGGGGCCGGAGCACTCGCCGGAGTACCTGCAGGACGCCGGGGACCGCAGTTCCCGGGACCCAATGCCCCAGCTCCGCTGGAGGAAGCAGGACCGAAACGGCAGCCCCGCAACCCGGAGTCCCGGGAGCGGCAGCCCGGACCCTCACCCTGCGGAGCGGCCGGGCGCCCAGAGGTGAGGCTGGGGCGACCCCGCCCCCTCCCGCAGCCCC